AAAAAAAAAAAAAAAAAATGCAAGTTTGGCAGTTTTTCTCATACTATTACAAAGGTAATATGATTTTATTACAGGAAACACATGAAAACACAAGAAAGAAAAAACTCATCTTTCCATTGACCCCAGAGTTAACGGCTGTGAAAATGTTGGCATGTTTGTCTTTTTCTTTTTTTCTTTTTTTTTTTTTTTTGAGATGGGGTCTCTCTCTGTCTCCCAGGCTGGAGTGCAGTGGTGCAATCTTGGGTCACTGCAACCTCTGCCTCCCAGGTTCAAGCAATTCTCCTGTCTCAGCCTCCGGAGTAGCTGGGACTACAGGCGCCCGCCACCACACCCGGCTATTTTTAGTAGAGACGGGGTTTCACCATGTTGGTCAGGCTGGTCTTGAACTCCTGACCTCAGGTGATTCGCTCATCTCGGCCTCCCAAAGTGCTGGGATTACAGGCGTGAGCCACCGCGCCCAGCCAGCATGTGTCTTTTTTTTCCTGTCCACACAAGTCCGCATATATCTATGAAACTGGGACCTTGGTGGCCCATGCCTGAAATTCCAGCACTTTGGGAGGCTGAGGCAGGAGGATTGCTTGAGGGCAAGCGTTGGAGACTAGCCTGGGCAATGTAGCAAGACCCTCATCTCTACAATATAAATACAAAAAATTAGCTAGGTGTGGTGGTGCACTCCTGCAGTTCCAGCTACTCGGGGTGTTGAGATGGGAGGATTGCTTGAGTCCAGGAGGTTGAGGCTGCAGTGAGCCATAATTGCACCACTGCTCTCCAGCCTGGGTGACAGAGAAAGACTCTGTCTCTAAAACAAAACAAACAAAAAATGCCTCTAGTGTCATCCTGTGGGGTGTGGGGGTGAGGCTCCCAGAGAAATCAGTAGTTTTTCTAACAAGATCTTGAGGCTCTGGGCTCTGTGGGCCAGGTGTCCATAAGGACAGCTACAGAGGGCAGGAGGGGAGGTGAGTTGAGCCCCGGGGCAGCCCCTTCACACAACTGGTCCTGTGCAGCACGGGCAGACCCAAGGAGGCCCAGGAGGTCATGCAACCCCACAGGGTCACACAGCTGGTAAGTCCTAAACGTGGGGTTCACCACAAACCCTCCTGCCCAGTTGGCATGACCTTGGCACAGATTGTACCTTGTGGCTGTGTGTGTGTCTGTGTGTGTGTGTGTGTATGCGTATTTTCTCCCATTTCCATTTCACAAAAGAACAAGTATGACAATATAGGCCAATGGTCTTAAATTCATTAAAAAAAAAAAAAAAAAGACAACAGTGGGGATTGACTGATAATGTCTCCAAAAAATCCTCTGTTTCAAACCCTTAAATCCTTTTGCCTGTACTGCTAAGAACCGCTCAACTGATGTCTTTATTTCGGATCTCCGTGTAGTGTCTGTCCCCCTAGCAGGAAGTACCACGGAAAGCACTCCTTCGAGGTCGTCTGTAGGGCGAGGGGCTATCCTCTTCCCCGTTACCCAAACCAGAACCCAGGAACCAGCCCCAGCTCCCTCCACTCCTATCTCTGAAGCCAGATGCTGCAAAACTCAGAACGGAGCGTCCTCTCCCGTGAGCCCCAGCCAGCCACACAGCCTTCTGTGGCCTGGCCTCATGGCCACTGCCTTCCCCCAGCCCTGCTCCTCCCCAGCCCTCCTGAGTGACCTGCACTGCCCGGGCCTGCTGCCCATGCCCTGCAGTCCCCTGAAGGGCTCCAGGAGCCACCTCTGCCAACCTCATGTGAACATCACAGCCCCATCCCCGGTGCCCCTGCCTCCGCACCTTGGGGTGCTGATCTGAACCCCGGCCTACCTCTTCCAACCACCCCTCATGAACAGGTCCCAGGCCTGGACACCTTTCTGTCCTCTGTGACCACACAGACCTGGCCATCCAGTCTCTGTGGATGGAACTCAGTTTTCCAGATGAGAAGGAGACTCAGAGAGATGACATCCTAGGCCCCAAACACATCCAGGACTTCCGTTCTCTGACAGGTGTGTGGGGTGGCCGGGCGCCGTGGCTCACGCCTGTAATCCCAACAATTTGGAAGGCCGAAGCAGGCGGATCACTTAAGGCTAGGAGTTTGAGACCATCTTGGCCAATATAGTGAAACCCTGTCTCTACTAAAAAAAAATTAGCTGGAGTTTGAGACCATCTTGGCCAATATAGTGAA